GTGCACATAGCCCATTGTGTAACTTTGCCCTAAAAAAAACAACAACCTTCATGTCTAATCCTCTATATTATTCAATAAATATATTTTAGCTGGTTACTATCACAATTTTGGTTTTTTTGTTTGTTTGAAGTTAAGCAGAAAGCTACACAATGGGCTATCTGTGCTCTACCCACCACGGGTATCGAAACCCGGTTTCTGGCATTGTAAGTACGCAGACATGCCGCTGTGCCACTGGGGGGGGGGCACAATTTTGGGTTGATTCTTCTTGAATATTTTGGTATCATGATGCTGTGTGATACTAAATGTAAAAGCCATGGTATACCTTTCCTGTTTTTTCACACATTAATATTTTATCGTTATTTGACAACTTGAGCTTGAATTCCCACGCTTCTCTGGTAACATTTTACTTAAAAGGGGTGTCCTAATAAAATGGAGTAAGTTCATCAGAAGTCGTTTCATTAACTATGTGGTTTGTTTGTATATCGAGGTTTAGATGGAGCTGGTAACATTTTACTAAAAGGGGTGTCTGTATCAGATGGAGTAAGTTCATCAAGAGTTTTTTTATTAACTTGTGTGGTTTGTTTGTGTATCAAGGTATAGTCAGATCTGATAACATTTTACTAAAAGGGGTGTCTGTATCAACTGGGGTAAGTTCATTAAAAGGTTTTTGGTTAAATCAAATAGTTTGTGTAACTAACTCCATTTGGAATTGGTAAACTGCGATAAGACAGGTTTAAGTGGCAAATTAAGAAAAATAATCAGGAGCTTTTTTTATTAACTGGAATGATTAACTTCTGTAACCACTTTTAGTTGGAGTTGACAAACATTTCGCTAAGAAGGCGTACGTGTAAAATCAAGTGAAATCATCCGGAAGAAAGCCGATCTGTGGAAACGTTTGAGCATAGATATGGGTTTCCTGTGGCCGTGTTACATCACACGTTTAACAAATTTAACAAAAAACAGCTGTTGACGACAAGGCTGTACTACGTATGGTTTATTTCCCAGATGATTGATTAATTTTTTATTTGTATTTGTTTGACCCACGGTGATTAATAAGTAACAGATAAGCCTACGTGTCATCGAGTTACGTCTTAAACCACTAGCATTTCGGTGTGTAAGGGTAACAACAAGCATTTCTTTTGATAATATATATATATATATATTATTTCAAAATGAATTTTAGGCATTGTGTTTTGACATGTTAAATAGTTCCCATAGACTGCTCCTTCCTCGCTAGCCATCACTAATTTTGAAGTTACAGGGTAGAAGAAAGGCAGCTGCCAACGCCGTCGACTGCCAACTCTTGGGCTAGTCTTTACTAACGAATAGTGCGACTGGCCATCACATTATAAATCCTCCACGTCTGAAAGAATGAGTATGTTCACCACGAAGGGTTTCAGTCTTGTGACCCGATGATTACGAATCGAGCGCCCTCAACCACCAAAAACGTATCTGAAGTTACAAATCTTCTCTACTTGTTAACATTTGTTTGTTTGTCTTCCATTATCAAGCAAAGAGCTATACAATAGGCTATCTATGTCATGCCCACTTTGGGTATCGAAACTCAATTTTTAGCGTAATAAGCCTTTGGGTTTACCACTGAGTCACCGACGGGGCATTGACAGAGATAAAAATGAGTTAGTTTTGAGGAACCATAAATGTTTAAAGAGCTAATCAAGATATTTAAGGCAGAAAACAAAATTATATTACCTTAGAGGTTGACCGATTTATTTTTCAACGTACAAAAGGTTAGGGGTAAATTTTTGGACTTACAATGTTCAACTCTGAAGTTCGATTCCCAAAATTAGCTTATTTTGTAGCTTTGTACTCGAACAACAACAAGAACGCACAAAACTTCGTAGCTATAGAAGAAGTACAGATTTAAAGAACCTTAACAGACAGCTTCAACGATTCATTGAGAAAATATATCACTAAATCGGTTTTGAACTCCTTCTGTAAGAATTATCATTTGCTACTAAATCATCTTTTCCTTTGGCACACACGTATCAACTTAAGACCTCCAACTTCTTCCACTGTTTTCGCAATCATATTAAGCTCTAAAACATAACAGTGTTATCAAGATCTAATGAATTCTGCTGATGTAGAAATTAAATTCCTTATTTGTTTTATATACAAATATTTTTCGGACAAGAGATTCAAATACAAAATGCTGTTACCTTTATTTTTTATGGTTAACATAATATTTTTTCTTTAACTATACTTTTAGTGACCATACATAATTCGAGATATGGAATTATCATAGCTAACACTAACCTCAAATCTCTCTGTCACGCAACATGCATGCTCATTTTACCAGAACCCCTTGTCCTTGTAAGTCACACACTTGCAAAACAAATAGCCTCTTGCGACCTCTATACGTTCACTATTTTTCATCTAGAAAAAAACCTGAAAATTCGAAGTTTTACTTTTCTTATATCATTAGGAACTTGAACATAAATATAACAAATTTGATTTTAGCAAATACATTTACTATAAATGTAAAAGAAAATCAATTTTTAAAGACCTGTAGCAGCTTTTGCATCTCAAACCAGTGACCATTAGGTAGCAAATTTCATGGAAGTTGAAACATTATTTTCGTATATGTTGATGGTTTTTAGCATCGACTGAAGCTCAAGCTCTCCTCCCTCCAATTATGGAGTCCCGTCAGATCGAATTTGTCAATGTGTAGCCAATTAGCGTGGTGTCATTCCTAATTTAGAACCATCGACTACAGGTAGGCAATCAGTCGGCAGCAATGTACTACATTATTTTTATACCTTATTCATTTAACTTATTTTCACTTTATTTACCTATTTATTATCATGTCTTCTTTGTTACACCAAGTTCCCAATGCATATTAGAGGGGATTAATATATAGGAGTGGAGATTAAGATTATCACTCAAAACTCGTCACTATGGCAATAAGACAAAGAAATTCAACTCCAGTCTAGCACCAAACAACCTCATATGCAATTGCACAAACTAAATTAATAGAAGTTTGACTCAAAATAGCTCGAAATTAATTGGAATATTTATTTAGTAATTAAGAAGAAAGTTTATATTTTTAACTAAAGTCTATCACCCACAAGATGAATCTGTCAATGTTTAATTAAATAAACCAGGGCTTCTCATAATTTTGAAGAACCTTAAAGCTATCTAAGCGGTAAATTATATCATGCTAATACTATCACCCACAAGATGAATCTGTCAGTGTTTAATTAAGTAAACCAGGGCTTCTCATAATTTTGAAGAACCTTAAAGCTATCTAAGCGGTAAATTATATCATGCTAATACTATCACCCACAAGATGAATCTGTCAATGTTTAATTAAGTAAACCAGGTGCTATTCATAATTTTGAAATATATTTTTGTTTGTTTACTGTTAAGCACAAATCTACACAATGGGCTACTTCTATTGTACCCACCGCAAATATGAAACCCCGATGTTTAGCGTTATAAGCCCTCAGGCTTACCACCGATTTAATTTAGTATAACTTAAATTTTGTTTCAACTGTTGTAAGATTTGTTTCCTTTATCACTGCTGATAGACACTGCTATGGAATGTAAGATTGTTACAAGCTTGTTTTAATGAAATGTAAACTTATAATAAACTTATTCTACAAAACATATGTTGTTATATTTATTTTCAAGTTCTTAGTGAAACAAAGCTACCTATGGAAATAAAAACGTCCAATTTTAATTTTTTCCAGTCGAAAAATAACGATCATCTACAGAGAGCAAGAGCTTTTTATTTAACGAACTGATATCATTATATGACACAACATTATATAAAGTTAGGCGTCTTATATATGATATAGTTTTAAAATATCAATGCCAAATTCGGAAACATAGCAACAACAGGGACAATCCCATGTTTTTTTCTAAGTGTTTAAACATTAGTTACGACGACTAAAATAGAAAAGTGGGAATTTTTGAAATCGTTGCCCAGGTTATAAAAGTTTTGACGAAGAATAGTATTATAATGTCGAAGGAAGTGGAGTAATGAAACATAGTGAAATAACCAGTAGTGATTATAATAGAAACACTTTCTACTGCCGGCAATATAGAATGAGAATAATGAAACATACAGACAATAGTAAAAGTACATTCTTCAGCCGGAAATGTAGAATGGGAGTAATGAAATGTATAGAGAAACTAGTAGAAGCACTTTCTCCTACCGTACCGTATAAAGTGTCATGAAACGTACACAAATTAGTAAAAACATGTTGTAATGCCGGAACTGCACTGTTAAAATGTGAATTAATATTACAATATCATGAATTTCTCGCTCTTCCAAGATGAATTAGAAACGGGCTAGAAAAGACAGTCTCAAAGAGATAAATTCTACTATGTGTTTATTAAACGTTTTACTACAGCGTAGCTACGAGTTTACATGGACGAGTATAGCTAAAGACTTGCTAATAAATATTTATTGTAAAGCCAAGCGTAAGAAGAAGCTGAACTTTTTATAAGCGGCTCTTACACTTAATATATTATAACACATTCAGATATTACAGTACCATGCTACTTTCAGCGTCTATAGGCAGAAACAACGCTACCGGAGAGAAGCGTAACTATGGTAATGTCACACAACGATGCTACCAATGTAAAGCGGTAACTATGGTAATGTCACACAACAATGCTAACAGTGTGAATCGGTAACTATGGTAATGTCACACAACGATGCTACCAATGTGAAGCGGTAACTATGGTAATGTCACACAACAACGCTAATAGTATGAAGCTCTAATTATGGTAATGTCACATAACAACGCTAACAGTGTGAGGCGGTAACTATGGTAAGGTCACACAATGATGCTACCAATGTGAAGCGGTAACTATGATAATGCCACATAACAACGCTATCAGAGAGAAGCGGTAACTATGATAATGTCACACAACAACGCTAACAGTGTGAAATGGTAACTATGGTAATGTCACATGCCGGTAAAGCTCGCTAGGAGTACATTCTTTAATACAGTCATATTCTCCTTCGTCCATGTCTTCATTCTCTGTCCTAATCTCCATCTTCTGGACAATGAGTCGAAGAAGCTGTAGTTGTTCACTCATTGCTTTCGATATGTCACTAAGCCTAAATGGATAAAACAAAACATAACATGATTCTCGGTAAAAATAATAATAATTATAAATTATTCAGCATTACAATTTCGAAAATAGCTATCGCACAATGTAACAATCATGTTGAACAAACGTTATGTTTCTTATGTAAATCATAAACCATTATTTTATATAGATATTATAGACATTTAACAAGAAGGTAAGTTAACTAGATATTATTGTCTAAGAATATATATAACAAAAAGTAGATTAACCATTTGATATTATTGCTCCTATAACGTCTTAGTGAGTTAAACAAAGAGATGGTAAGAACTAGAGAAGATAGTCAAAACAATAAGTTATAATCTAAAGATGGTTAGCAGAATACCTCAACTAGAACATTGAGTTACCTTCAAATTGGATGACCATCTTAATGTATATGCATTATCTCTGGTTAAAAACAAAGTACCTTAAGGACATGTTGGTTTGCCTTGTGTACAATTATTAAGCTTAAAAATCATGTTTAGGAAATCAAGAAATCACTGCTAGTCCTAACATGATATTAAAAGTACCCTTTCGAAGTGTCAACATATCTTTAGATAGTAATTAGACCAAAATTCGTAGATCAAACTACTGTAAGGCGCTATAAAAAAAACCTATACTAATATTCTAGAAAACGTATTCAGCTGAAATTCCTTTTTAACAATAATAAGTTGATTTCTGATATACGAAAACCTCTATTGGCCATTTTAAACATCCTCTGAATACATCCCATAATGTTTTTGTTTTTTTAAATTACTGAACGATTCGAATCTTTTTTGCTGCGTTTTAAGGGCATTCCGTATATTTAACTGTCTTGGTTTTTTATCAGGTAATATTATATGCATCTTCGGACTATCTTTTTTTACACTTTAAGTTGGTTTGTAAAATTAATTTTTATCAGACAGCGCATGCGCTGCTGTTCTTACATTTTATGTCTTCATCAAACAGTACACGTGCTGCTGTTCTTACATTTTATGTCTTCATCAAACAGTCTATGCGCTGCTGTTCTTACATTTTATGTCTTCATCAAACAGTACACGTGCTGCTGTTCTTACATTTTATGTCTTCATCAAACAGTCTACGTGCTTCTGTTCTTACATTTTGTCTTCATCAAACAGTGTACGTGCTGCTGTTCTTACATTTTGTCTTCATCAAACAGCGTACGTGCTGCTTTTCTTACATTTTGTCTTCATCAGATAGTGCACGTGCTTCAGTTCTTACATTTTATGTCTTCATTAAACATTGCATGTGCTGCTGTTCTTACATTTTATGTCTTCATTAAACATTGCATGCGTTGCTGTTCTTATAATCTGTGTCTTCATCAAATATTTCATGCGTTGCTGTTTTTACATTTTATGTCTTCATCAAACAGTGCATGCGTTGCTGTTCTTACATTTTGTTTTTATTAAACATTGCATGCGTTGCTGTTCTCATAATCTATGTCTTCATCAAACATTTCATGCGTTGCCGTTCTTACATTTTATGTCTTCATCAAACATTGAATGCGTTGCTACTCTTATAATCTGTCTTCATCAAACATTGCATGCGTTGCTGTTCTTACATTTTATATCTTCATCAAACATTGCATGCGTTGCTGTTATTATAATCTATGTCTTCATCAAATATTGCATGCGTTGCTGTTCTTACATTTTATGTTTTCAAATATTGCATGCGTTGCTGTTCTTACATTTTATGTCTTCAAATATTGCATGTGTTGCTGCTCTTACATTTTATGTCTTCATCAAAAAGTGCATGCGCTGTTGCTCTTACATTCTATGTCTATCTCCGAATTAAACCCAAAATTAACTGAGAGTTAAAGGCAAAGTAAAATTATTCTCAAGAACACCAAAGATGCTCATCAGCCTTTGATGCAGTTACCTCAGAGAACAATAAAATACTCAGAAACAAAGTATTACATCACATTTCCATCCCACACCTAACATCATGGCGCAGTTAGCGAGAAACTTACGCTAATGAATTTTAACAAAATATCAGTAGTTACACATATCAAGTGATGTATATTATTCTTATAGTTGTAAAGTTTCACCTTTTTATTAAAATACAAAAAAACCATTTTTCCCAAAAACTAATAAAGGTATAGATGCATTACTTCGCAGTGTTTGAATCTTTAATCATGTTTATTGCACATTTTTCTCGTATATTCCTATAGTTTATAAAAATCGTTCTTATTATATATGTTTAGAAAATCAAAGGTGCCACAGACACCCGTTAATTCTAACACAGTATATCGTGTTTCTCTTGAGATGACGTTAAGCGCTCAAACGTTTAGTTATTCACATCCTTTGTGGTTAATGATGCAAGAAAAATTAGAATTTCATCAGAAAAGTCATTAGTACGTTCTAATCATATTAACTGTACAAAGAAAGAAGCACACATACACTCAACTTTCTTTAATGTTGATAAAGAAGATAATGATTTAATTCACAAACTAATGAGCTTTAATTCTGAAAAAAGAGACTCAAAAACAGAAATATTCCTTTTGTATCCATCAAAGTGTGTGTGCGTTTTTTTCTTGAATATCTCTATATGGTAATAATTTTTCTACTTGAAAGCTAAAAAAAAAGGATAAAACTCGAATTATTATAGTTATCTTTACAACAAAAACAAAACACGTACTTTTTCTTCTGTTCGTGAAGTTGTTCGCCCAAATCATCCGACGTATCTGTAATTCCGTCCACCAGGTGGGGCGATCGCTGTCCTGAGTCTTCTTGAGGACTTGCAAACCAGCTATGAATAGTGCTCCACTAGTTCACGTAAAAATAGATAGAAATAATACAGTTAAAACTGTTTGTATCATTTATAATAATAGTGAACAAATAATGTAGAAACTGAACAGATGTTTGCTCTGTAAGCCTTAGCAATCCTAATGTAATTGAAGAATAAATATAGTAATTCAGAAAGAAACAGTAACGAGTTAACTTTTACTTTTCTGTCTCTCTCTCTCTAGCCACTGCAACGCACTCTAGTGTATACCTACAGTACGGAAAAAATAAAGTTTTACAGATTTTAGATTGAGTTGCTAGTTTTTTTAGCTTTTGCCATCAGCAATTTAAACGGAAATTTTCAAATCGAAAGTTATTTAATTGCACGTTTTTAAATTATTCAGTTATACAACTTTTATTAAGAAACTTCTGCAGAGTATGTTTGTTGTTCAACACATAACTACACAATGGACTGTGTATAATCTGCGACCGCGGGTATCGAAACTCGATTTTTTTGCGTTAAAAGCCAACAGACTTACCGCTGAACCAAGGGGAGAAGGGGCTTTTAGAGTCTGATAGGGTTATAGTGTAACTATTAACCAGTCTGATAGGGTTATAGTGTAAATATTAACCAGTCTGATAGGGTTATAGTGTAAATATTAACCAGTCTGATAGGGTTATAGTGTAACTATTAACCAGTCTGATAGGGTTATAGTGTAACTATTAACCAGTCTGATAGGGTTATAGTGTAACTATTAACCAGTCTGATAGGGTTATAGTGTAACTATTAACCAGTCTGATAGGGTTATAGTGTAAATATTAACCAGTCTGATAGGGTTATAGTGTAACTATTAACCAGTCTGATAGGGTTATAGTGTAAATTTTAACCAGTCTGATAGGGTTATAATGTAAATATTAACCAGATTTACAGTTTCTTGAACAACGAATTATCGTTGTAGCTTTCTTATAGCATATAGCCCAATGTTAATCGTGCAAATGTGGTAAAACGCAGAATGTGAAATTTCCATGGAATGTGTACAGTGCAAACAAACGGAAAATACCTTAACGCAGACCTTGGGTGACCATCAGGGTTAAAATATGCATCACAGGGACAACGAATAGCCAACTGGACAGAAGAGTGGATGTTAGAAAACAAAGAGTCAGAATGATATCAAATATTTAGGAACAAACTTTCCTAAGTTACAAAATTCTCATCTTTTTAAAGATTGTAACTTCTCCGTTTGTCAACTTTGAAAACTTATAAAGTTAAAGTTTTTAAATCTCTTTAAAACCATTCAGAACTTGATGAAGAAACTAAATGTCAAATATCTAGTATGATGGATAAACTACGCATTATAGCACCTCTATAGATACGCATTATAGCACCTCTATAGATACGCATTATAGCACCTTGATCGATACGCATTATAGCACCTCTATAGATACGCATTATAGCACCTCTATAGATACGCATTATACCACCTCTATAGATACGCATTATAGCACCTTGATCGATACGCATTATAGCACCTCTATAGATACGCATTATAGCACCTCTATGGATACGGATTATAGCACCTCTATAGATACGCATTATAGCACCTCTATAGATACGCATTATAGCACCTTTATAGATACGCATTATAGCACCTTTATAGATACGCATTATAGCACCTTTATAGATACGCATTATAGCACCTTTATATATATGCATTATAGCACCTTTATAGATATGCATTATAGCACCTTTATAGATATGCATTATAGCACTTTTATAGATACGCATTATAGCACCTCTATAGATACGCATTATAGCACCTTTATAGATATGCATTACAGCACCTTTATATAGAGTTAACATTTGTTTTCACATCATTCCTGATTTATTTAAATGTGGAAGAAAATATTATACATACAGTGTATAATTATATTTGGCTTGTCTATAGTGAATCCACATTAGCATTAGTTAAATTAATGAAGGACACATTCACCTTAATGTCATGTGTACTGATACTATTAGACAGACACACAGCAAGCTCAAATCAATAGAAAAAGTTGTTAAAAACATATATTAACCAAGTGTGTCAAAGAACTTGTACGATGAAAAATAAACACTCATTGGGACCAGTTTTAGTAACTTATTCATATATAAATAACCATGAGAAGCCTGAATTATCCATTGTTAGTCTTCACACTTTTCCTTATCGTTCAAATGATAATCAAGTATCAGAAATAAAAATTTTCCGAAAGGAATTTGTGGAGGTAGAACGATTGTAGGGAAACTTACACGAAATATCACCATAAGTCGCGTTAAAGTACATTCCTCTGCCATGTTTAACTTACACGAAATATCACCATAAGTCGCGTGAAAGTACATTCCTCTGCCATGTTTAACTTACACGAAATATCACCATAAATCGCGTTAAAGTACACTCCTCTGCCATGTTTAACTTCATCATCGGAAAAGAAAAGAATTTTTGTTTTTACATTAGCTTCCTTCTCTGCTTGGTCATTATAATTTAACTTAAGCTCATATTTCCAAACAATCAAAATTGACTGCTGTCGTATTTTTATTTACTAAAATTATCTGAAATACGTTATCCGTTGCAGATCTAAAAAAAATATTATATGTAGATCCATAATGTGAAGCTTTACTAAATGCTTCTAATATATACGAATTAAATTAATTAACTCACCAAGTAAGAAGACACGTTTGTCCGGTTTGGATACTCACAAACCTCCATTTTGTCAACTAGTTTTAAAAAATTTTCAGGAAGCTTCCTTTCCAAGTCTGTATGCGACTCCACCTAGGGTAATGTATTACCTAATGAATATGTGTAACGCCTTGTTTGACATAGGGTTAGAAACGTAAAGAGTCGAGAGGAGAATAAGAACAAAACATTTAAAATAAAAAGGATAACTTTCCAAAGTTGCCTTGGAGAGCTGGTTGAAATGGCATACGTTTTTTATTGAAAGAAACATACTACCGACAGTTAATCACTAAACATTTTGAGATGTTAAGTTCTCGTGGTTTCTACGTTGGGTTTATGAGTGCTCCCAGTAAAAGAGTATAGTTTTGAGTAAATTTATAGATGTTTACTTCACACAACATCATTTCGTTATCTGAAATATTTATGTTTTACTAATCTTGTATTTGTTATAGAAGAAGTAGAAACCTATTCATCCTGGTTCTTATAATACAGCTTGTACGAATTAGAGCTCTTTTGTGTTAACCTCACAAAATATTTGGTACTGTTGTCTCTGATCTTAAAATTCTAGTTATAAAGAATCCTTGTAATAAAAGCACTGGGTCAGTTCTATTCTGGACAAATGGCGTCTAGATTAACTAACAACTTTCATCTTCATTGGTATCTTAAGCACACTTGGACTAAAAGGCCAGGTCAGAGATCCCTAAAATTCAGGTATAATCATCTCTAATTTTGAAGTGCTGATCGGAAGGAAAGCAGTCAGCCAACGGGAAACGTTCGACTGGGACTGACTGTCACTTTTCTAACGCGTCAACAGCTGAAGAGCGGAGCTTATTCAATGGCATCACGTCTCGAACCCTAGACCTTGCGATACGCAGACCTACACGATAACCACTAAGCCAACATCGACCTTAAGTTTCGAAATATTCCTTTCTAACGCTCTATACTTTTATTTATAACTTAAAACATTTGTGATAAATGAACACAAATGTGAATGTATTTTGAAAGCTAACGTTAAACAAGCTAATTTAATATATATATATCAAATCATAACGGTTTCTTAAAGGTCGGAAAATTAGAGTTTAATCATATCACGTTAACCAATACATGATAAGCCTTGATATATTATGACGCAGCAATTTTCTGTATGTGACTGTACCTATAAAACTGCAACTGAAAAACTGTTCGGTATGAGCTGACAAAATGCCTCGATACCAAAATATGAGATAATACATTCTTCAATAACATAAGTTATTCTGCAAAATATTCTGTACTATTTTGTCTAGATATAATACAAATTTCCATTATAATTACTAACTTTATTATAACCTGTTCTTGCAACAACAGGTTGAGAAATAGATGCGAATAAAAAAATGCCTCTTTCATAAAATAATGGACCACTTTTCCGTCGGTATTGAAGCCACAATTTACTGGATAATGGCTTAAATTATCTTATTTTCAATCTTCCATAATGAACAAGTTTAAAAAGAATTTATGTGATGACAACTAGGAAAAATTAAATAAACACAAAAGGGCATGAAAGTAAAAATAAAATAACGCTTTCACTCTAAGAATAGTTAATGCAAAAGCTATAATTGACTGTCGAATAAAATTTTAATGTAAGAAAGTGAAATACAATGTTGCCATTTTTATTTTACTTTTAAAGTACTCACAAAAGGCATGATGGGAGATTTTAAAATCGACATGAATTTAAACCGTTGTCAAACCTCGAGTTAAACACTTTCCAACCTTACATTCTTCATCAAAGAGAAAAACGTTCCTTTCGAAATAACATAAGCTAAACGGTTTTTAGCAATGTTATAAATAGTCCATTATCGTAGTTCTCTATGCATGTATACCAAAATAAATTGTTTTGAGTGGTAATTACAATTATGGATTGATGTTCGAGAATTTCAGCTTTGTTTTAGTTTTTGAAAATCGATCAAGTTTGTGTTGTTGGGATTATAATCTTGCTTAATTATTTCAATTGATTTTTTTTGTTAACTTCTTGTACGTAACGTTGAAGAATTTACCTGCATTGTTAGCCGCTTTAGTTGGGCGTTTCTTCTCACCGTTTCGATGTCTCCAACAGCTAGACCAATCTATCAACAACAACAAAAAAAAAACAAAGAGGAAAGATCGCAACAATTTATAACGGATCTAAATATGAGTTTTGTTTATCGTGTTTCTAAGTAGAATATTACTTGTAACATTTTATTACTGAACGTGAATTTTCTTAACTTTGTTCTGAGTGAGACATGATTAAAAAATTTGTAGAAAAAGATCAAACGTGAGAAAAGAAGTCTTATCTGAAATTAAATGAATATGAACTTGCTACAAACTAGAGCATGTACAGAAACAGAAATCAGACCTTAACCAAATTAAATGAATATGAACTTGCTACAAACTAGAGCATGCACAGAAACAGAAAACATACCTTAGCCAAATTAAATGAATATGAACTTGCTACTATCTATAGCATGCACAGAAACAGAAAACATACTTTAACCAAATCAAATGAATATGAACTTGCTACTATCTATAGCATGGACAGAAACAGAAAACATACCTTAGCCAAATTAAATGAATATGAACTTGCTACTATCTATAGCATGTACAGAAACAGAAAACATACTTTAACCAAATCAAATGAATATGAACTTGCTACAAACTAGGGCATGTACAGAAACAGAAAACAGACTTCAACCTAGCTTTATATCCCTCATTACTTATGAAAACCCAAAAGTATAAAATGGCATGTTCCTACAGTTAAGCTTACACTGATATAATTTACACCATTGAACAGAAACAGTTTTAACCTTCGGTAACCTGTTGATGGACTAGAGAACATCTTTGGTAACTTATAGCTATGGAAATGTTATAGGCAAAGCCAAGGAGACCTTACAGTATTGTCTACGACCTTCTTATTCTAGGTTAACACTTAGCTTTATGGGGAAATATGTACTGTAGACGTTTGGTAAGGAAGTTGCTTTATGTTCTTGGTTTGTCTACGACCTTCTTATTCTACGTTAACACTTAGCTTTATGGGGAAACCTGTACTGTAGACGTTTAGTAACGAAGTTGCTTCATGCTGTTGGTTTGTCTACGACCTTCTTATTCTACGTTAACACTTAGCTTTATGGGGAAATGTGTATTGTAGACGTTTAGTAACGAAGTTGCTTCATGCAGTTGGTTTGTCTACGACCTTCTTATTCTACGTTAACACTTAGCTTTATGGGGAAATGTGTACTGTAGACGTTTGGTAAGGAAGTTGCTTTATGTTGTTGGTTTGAGAACTTACCAGAAGATTCATCAAAAGAATTGGCATCAGAATTGCAAATCCCATAAGAAATACTATTGCAGCAAACAACTGTCTTGACATTGGGCCAACTAGACTGCGCAAAGGTCGCAAGAAAGTTCCGAGAAAGTCCACTTCTCCGAGCATCATGGTTCCGACTCGAACCAAAGATATCCCGGGATTGTAAAAACCTTTTTCTTCCAGCCCCTGACAAAAACATAAATACATGATACACATGAACCTCATACTAAATAAACTCGTTTGTCCAAAAACTAAAACGTTATGTTCGAAATATACAAACAACTGCGTTTAATTACGTAGAATATCCTTCAAAGTTCCCATTTATGGTAAAGTATACTATTGTGTTTCTATACTTTGTGGTTATTATTAACATAGTTTGTATACACTCTATTATACACTCTATGAGTATTATTATTACTGTGTTTGTATATTTTGTGGTGATTATTAACACAGTTTGTATACATCTATGAGGATTATTATTACTGTGTTTGTATACTTTGTGGTGATTATTAACACAGTTTGTATATAGTCTATGCGAATTATTATTACTGTGTTTGTATACTTTGTGGTGATTATTAACACAGTTTGTATATACTCTATGAGGATTATTATTACTGTGTTTGTATATTTTGTGGTGATTATTAACACAGTTTGTATACATCTATGAGGATTATTAATACTGTGTTTGTATACTTTGTGGTTATTATTAACACAGTTTGAACCACAAAGTATACAAACACAGTATTAATAATCCTCATAGAATGTATACAAACTGTGTTAATAATCACCACAAAGTATACAAACAATGTGTTAAAATCCTAAGCTCTCTTAGTTTGAAAAATGAATATATTACTGAATAAATTTTATGTTTAACAAAGTTAATCCAAATAAAATAGTTTTACTCTGATCTATATTTAAGTTTTATCTATTAAAAAGCATCTCTACAGCGTATATCAGAAGAAGTAAGTACAACCTGAAACCCTCAGTAATTCGGGTGTTGTGAAAAGTAGATGTGTTATTTCTATATTACTCTGCATGTCTACAACCTAAATTGTTTACAAAATCAACGAAATTCTAATATCTATATAATGTTTATGCATAGTGATATAGGAACCGAGATTAGTATCAAAACAAGATTAATCGACAGGTTAGTATAAAATAAAAGAATTAAAAGAAATAAGATAGGTATTTATTGCTCTGATGTTCAACACCTAACCTGGAGAAACTATTATTACGTGCTATATTCTTTCAGCATTTAATAATTATCTTCCAGATTTTCTGAGGTCATCAAGAGAAAGAATTGAAATATCAAATATATTTCCAAACCTCGATTTTGCCAAGAAGGATGAAGAAGCTCAGACCAAACGCAATTATTAGCACGGAGAAGACAAGCATCACTCTCAACAATGTGGATAAGATTTCCAAAAACATCACTACGTAGATGCCGACTCTATTAAATCTAAAACAAATATTAGAAACTTCCATGAACAAGTGACCACTACTGTACAATTCTAATATATATATCTTGTGAAAGTTTCCAAATAGTGCAAGTTGATTTTATAAAAGTACACAAATATGGAACATTACCGCGTCTTAGTATTAAAATATAACACAATCAATGAGTTTTCTTTTCAAAAAGAAACAAACAATAAGGCAATAGATGTTACATATTTCTTATCTTGAGCACCGTTTTTCAGAGAAAATGCGTTTCTTTTTCAACATGTGTGACTGTAATACTTTCTAAAGTTTAAACCGTAATCCGTGGACACTTATGATCAAAATCTGATCAGTTTGAAAAGTTTATTTTTCAACATGTGTGACTGTAATAATTTCTAAAATTTAAACCTAATCAGTGGACACTTATGATCAAAATCTGATCAGTTTGAAATATTCATCAATATTCATAATTACTATGATAAAGTTTATCATGTACTCCAGTTTAGGCTAAGATGTAACTTGTTTTAAGTGATTTTCACAATAAGGTATAAGATAAAGTGTTAATTACCTCTGCAAGTAGAGAAGATAGTTGAACCAAGCAAGGAATACAGCAATGGCTGCTACAATGTAATCGGTGCTGTAGTCTAAGATTCCGGGGATGATATTCGTTGCCCCTAGTAACCCACTTGTAATGTAGAGCCCCCACTCTACCGTGTTGATTATATCCAAAAAGTACTTTACTCGCTACAAAAGGAAACGTGACTAGTCTGAAACATAACAATCAAACATTCCTCTATCTAAAAAAAACAACGAATTCTAAGAAAAGAGAAATGCCTTTAAAGTTGTTATAAATTATAAAATACTCAACGCTAAATTTGGTGTGAGTTAAAAGATCGAAATTAGACTATAAACACGTTGAGTTCTATATTTTAACTGGTCCGATACGGGTGTTCACAAAGAAGAGTACAAAAAAGTATTTCACTGCACTATATTGTACGTTTCTTTAAATAGAATTTATCAGGCCGGATGGGATACAACATTCAAAACGTTTGGTTGTGCATCGTTCAAAATGGAGTTCATCAAGTCAGCTGGGTTACAACATACAAAATGTTTGGTTGTATATCGTTCAAAATGGAGTTCATCAAGTCGTCTGGGTTACAACATACAAAATGTTTGGTTGTATATCGTTCAAAATGGAGTTTATCAAGTCGTCTGGGTTACAACATTCATAATGTTTGGTTGTGCATCGTTCAAAATGGAGTTTATCAAGTCAGCTGGGTTACAACATACAAAATGTTTGGTTGTATATCGTTCAAAATGGAGTTCATCAAGTCGGATGGGTTACAACATACAAAATGTTTGGTTGTATATCGTTCAAAATGGAATTCATCAAGTCGTCTGGGTTACAACACATAACATGTTTTCTTGTGCATTGTTCAATACAAAGCCCAACAGTCCGGCTGGGTTACAACACATAACATGTTTGCTTGTGCATTGTTCAATACAAAGCTCACCAGGTCGTTTAGTTTACTACATGCAAAATCTTTGTGGAAATACCATTTAAACCATATGTGAGTGGAAACTAAGGCGTAATGAACTAGTCTATAATATAATATTATTAAAACAACAACATTTTCTACCTTAAAGCGATTCCAGTCCTAATAAATTACTTGTACCTAAATCCCTGATTAATTCACAACCAAAATCTAGGAGTAGTAAAATGATACAATATTATTAAAATCTAATTGATTATGACTTTATTATTAGCAGCATTAATCTCGATACATTTTAAAATCCAAAAACGTCACAACTCCAACGCAACCAGTCAATATCTACTGCTAATTTAATCTGAGAGCCTGAAACAAAGAGAAAAACACAAGGATAAAAAGAGTATATAGATATTTTCCATAACCGATAAAGATTCCAATTTCTTAACGATTTTTATTATTTAAAAAGCTATTACATTAGAACACTTCCGGAGTGTATACGTCTGGCCTAACGAAAGATGCTAATTTTGCACACAAACATACACACATGACACAGGCAGTGACCAAAAACGTCAGTGGCTGGACAAGGATGGTTGCCCTTTCCTTCTGTTATTGGCCTGACCATTGACAACATTGGCTACGAATTTTGGGCGATATTGTTTTAAGTTATAAAGTTATAACAAAACAAACTTGTGGTGTCGTTTACATCGTTAAAGATATAACAGAAGAAATTTTTGGTGTCGTTTACATCATTAAAGATATGACAGAAGAAATTTTTGGTGTCGTTTACATCATTAAAGATATGACAGAAAAAATTTTTGGTGTCGTTTACATCATTAAAGATATGACAGAAAAATTTTTTGGTGTCGTTTACATCATTAAAGATATGACAGAATAATTTTTGGTGTCGCTTACATCATTAAAGATATGACAGAAGAAATTTTTGGTGTCGTTTACATCATTAAAGATATAACAGAAGAAATTTTTGGTGTCGTTTACATCATTAAAGATATGACAGAATAATTTTTGGTGTCGTTTACATCATTAAAGATATGACAGAAAAAATTTTTGGTGTCGTTTACATCATTAAAGTTATAATAGAACAAACTTTTGATTTACCTGTGTGTACATCTGGTAGAATTCCTTTATTATGTTTAAAGCAACGAAAACAAGTACGACTAAAGCGTTGACTGAACACATGGCGTGCGGCCTCTGTTGGGAAAAGGAAAAATAAACAAATATAATATATCAAATATCAAGCATTAAGCAAAAATACTTAATAGAAAAAATGTCATCATCCATTTTTACCAGAAACTCTAACCACGTATGTTCACCCTGTATATTAAAATGTGTCCTACAATGAAAAATAAACAATAATACTGTTTCATTGCTTTTTGGTCGCGGGCTAGAGCTCTAGATTTTGGAGGTGAAGAGTGAAATTTGAATGGATGATAGGTAGTAAAGTATTCTCTGCACTTTAAATCACGTGTGTTCTATAAGAATAATAATTAAAACCCTTTAAATCACGTGTGCTCTATAAGAATGATAATCAATCCCTTAGTATGGATTCTAGATAGCAGGATGCTGTTGAACAGCTGCCTTCCCTCTAGTCAGTAATTACAACTTGTGGACGGCGGCAGATAGCCTTAGTAGCTTTGCCATAAATACAAAAATACGAATGTATTGTTTATTTTAAACACATACGACTAATAAGCAACCAATCAATACTAATGTTATAGGTGGTTGGGTCATGCTTCAGTTTGAAACAACACCCTGGCTTACGTTTATAACACTTATAAACGGACTAATGCTTTGTGAAAGAATATATGACGTAAACAGATAGACAGACAGATAAATAGGTATATATTTTACTGAGCATAAAAAACTAATTCCATTAAATTATTTAATCAATAGGCTTATGTGTTTTTTGTTGTTTAAATTCGTGCAAAGCTAACCATCACTAATGTTGTGCTTTGTGAAGGAATATATGACGTAAACAGATAGACAGACAGATAAATAGGTATATAGTTTACTGAGCATAAAAAACTAATTCCATTAAATTATTTAATCAATAGGCTTGTGTGTTTTTTGTTGTTTAAATTCGTGCAAAGCTAATCATCACTAATTTTGAAGTGATAAACTGGAGTGAAGGCAGCTAGTCAATACCGCTGCTCTTTACCAACGAGTAGTGAGATAGGTCGTCACATTATAACATTATATATATAAAGTTTTAATTCCGCGACCCGCAGATTGCGTTTCGAGCGTCCAAAGCAGGCCAACCAATAAATGATAAATAGTAACGAGACAAAATAACTCCTTATAATTATTTATTGCTTTACAACTTCACCTCCTGATATAAAGAATCACACATTACCCTCAGTACATTGCCAAAAATAGAAAATATCGTTCCTTTAACCGTGTTTATTGTCATTTTATTCGGTCAAAAAACCATCATAAGTGAATCATTAAAACTAGTAACAAGTCAATAACTTCACCAGGTACATCTCCGACTGCCAATTTTATGTAACAGCCAAATGTAGGGAGTGGCTCAATATTTAGGGTGCCAGACCGGGAATCCGAAAGTTTGTGATTCGCGTTCATAAATTCTTACTAATCTTCAAGTGTATTATTTTATTTTACAAACTGATTGTTCGATTTTTGTTTAAAGAAAGAACTTCATCACTTAATGAATAAAACACCTACTATTCAGCAAATACAGAATACCACTTTTTGTAATTGTTCAGCCAATATAAAATACCACTTTTTTGTAACTGTTCAGTCAATATAAAATACCACTTTTTGTAACTGTTCAACTAATACAGAATACCACTTTTTGTAACTGTTCAACCAATACAGAATACCACTTTTTGTAACTGTTCAACTAATACAGAATACCACTTTTTGTAACTGTTCAACCAATACAGAATTCCACTTTTTCGTAACTGTTTAGCCAATACAGAATACCACTTTTTGTAATTGTTCAGCCAATACAAAATACCACTTTTTTGTAACTGTTCAGTCAATATAGAATACCACTTTTTGTAACTGTTCAACTAATACAAAATATCACTTTTTGTAACTGTTCAACCAATACAGAATACCACTTTTTGTAACTGTTCAACCAATATAGAATATCACTTTTTCGTAACTGTTTAGCCAATACAGAATACCACTTTTTGTAACTGTTCAACTAATACAGAATATTAATTTTTGTAACTGTTCAACCAATACAGAATACCACTTTTTTGTAACTGTTTAGCCAATACAGAATACCACTTTTTGTAATTGTTCAGCCAATACAAAATACCACTTTTTTGTAACTGTTCAGTCAATACAGAATACCACTTTTTGTAACTGTTCAACCAATACAGAATATCACTTTTTGTAGCTGTTCAGCCAATACAGAATATTACTTTTTGTAACTGTTCAGCCAATACAGAATATTACTTTTTGTAACTAAAATCTAGTTTGTAGCAGCTCGTGCTATATACTGTTAAATAATCATACAAATAAAAGAATCTCAAAGAAGTGTCCACAACCGTTTAGTTTTGAATGAAATAGTCTTTTACCATTATCTTTTGTTTTCGTTTTGCCTTCGAACGATGTAGAAAAACTCTGTTCTCGAAATGTTTGTTGTTGTTTTTTTTTTCTGGAGTAACAAAGATCGTCCTGCTTTATTCAACTTACATCCAAACGATTATTTATAATTCAATAGAAATGAACATTGAAAAGAAAAATTATTTGCATTAGTAAACGTATAGACTCCGCTCAAAAGCTTTAAACTGTTTAGAATGTTTAATATTCTTTATTCTAATTAATCTGTTTTAAATCTAAACATAAGAGAAATCTATACTGACCAGCCTCTGTCCCTCAGCAGAAGCTATTCCAGAAGATCCATTATCCACCGAGTTATTAAGTAAGTTACTTATATGATTTGGATACTTTGGTCTATTATCCATAAGACTGATGGCATTGGCTGTGACAAGGGCCAAAAAGATCGTATAAACGAACAGGTTCATCAAGTGAAAGTACATGCCATACGAGTTCCTGAAATAAGGTGTTAAATGAACAATACTTTTAGCACAGTTCTATTTACAGATTTCAAATCAAAGGTGTGCACAAATAGCACTACGGATCGATCTTTAGTCTTTCACAAGTCCTTGCTCAGCGGGAATATCTTTCAATATCAGAACTAATCACCTGGACCTACTACTTCCAAAAATCTATCTGAAATGCTGTTTGGGTGCACTAAAAGAAACTTAGTTCGGTGGTGTAAATTAAACCTAGGTTGGTGAAACGAGGAGGCTTTTCAGGCCTAAAAGATTTGAATAAAATCATGTTTTACTTCAGCTGTAATGGTGAAATTAAGAGGAACGTGTTTAAAACGTTTCCAGTCCAACGTGACTTTTTTTTAGACCTAAAAAGTCTCCTTGTTTTACCATATTAGGCATTTTACACCACAGAGCTAATTCAATATATTATTGATATACTCTTAAAAACATGAGGAACATTTGATTTCTTACCAAGCATTGTTGACTGTCACATTGCTTGATTTTTAAGTGGTCATCACACGTATAACATCTAGAGACATGTTATCACAAATGTACCTGAAATACAAACCTGTGGCACACACGTCGAAGTCTTTGTTACTTAGAGAATTTAGTACCTGAGTGTAAGCCAAAGATTTTAGAATAATAGATATTCGTTTTACTCGGTAGTATATAAAAGCACAAACTTATAAACATGTTTTTGTGAAATGTCTAAAACTGCTATGTTCGTCTCTAATTAAAGTGCAGTATTAACTGGTTGGCATTCATAGAACTTAAAAGTAAGTCAAACAGTTCGTATAAAGATGAACAGTAAACCCCCACAATTTGAGGACAAGAGGATAATCTAATGCATCAGGTCTTCATTCTTAAAACACTCCCACCCACGAATCCTTAACTGCATTGTTTTTACACAGAGATTACTTGCTGTTCATTTGAAGAAAGAACTTTATCATTTCATAAATATTACATTCTATGTCTGGTATTTGATGTACCAAAAACCTAATAAACTGATCACACTCTACCCTTCCCCTTACAACGACTTGTTTTCATATCATTGATATTAATATCGAAGCCTAACATTTATTTTTTAAGCCTAACATTTATTTCTTAAGCCTAACATTTATTTTTTAAGTCTGACATCTATTTTTTAAGCCTAACATTTATTTCTTAAACTACTGATACATATCAGTTACAATATCACAAATGTTTCATAAGGTTACCATACTCACCACTTTGTTTCTAGATATTTTACACACAGACGATGAGAAAGCAATTCTTCCCGTTTGTAACGGACCATATGCTACACAAAAATAGAAATATTGTATATTTGAAACGAGTAAAAAAATACAGAAGAAGAAAAATTACAGCATGTTTTGTAATGAGCAAAATACTACAGAGAAAACGCAATATGCTGCTAACATCTGAGGCTAATTATGTAGAAACATACTTATGAAAATAACTACTAGCGTTTGAGGTTAGTTATGTACAAACATACGTATGTTAATAACTTGTAGCGATTGAGATTAATTATGTACAAACATACGTATGCTAATAACTTGTAGCGATTGTAATTAGTTATGCACGAGCATACGTATGTTAATAACTTGTAGCGATTGAGATTAATTATGTACAAACATACTTATGTTAATAACTTGTAGCGATTGTAATTAGTTGTGTACGAGCATACGTATGTAATAACTTGTAGCGATTGAGATTAGTTATGTACAAACATACTTATGATAATAACTTGTAGCGATTGAGGTTAGTTATATACAAACATACGTATGTTAATAACTCGCCCTTTCGGGTTGCTGTCAGGGCCATCAACCCGCTACCAGAGTGTAAAACATCTTGTTTAATACAAAATTCCCGAGCTGCCAACCCATATCTATGTAGAATTAGGGTCGAATGGAGAAGAAATAATATGTGTTTGTTAGCAACTGGTAACAGTTGAGGTTAATTATATAGAAACAGTACAAACATACTTTTGTTAGCAACTGGTAACAGTTGAGGTTAATTATATAGAAACAGTACAAACATACTTTTGTTAGCAACTGGTAACAGTTGAAGTTAATTATATAGGAACAGTACAAACATACTTTTGTTAGCAACTGGTAACAGTTGAAGTTAATTATATAGAAACAGTACAAACATACTTTTGTTAGTAACTGGTAACAGTTGAAGTTAATTATATAGAAACAGTACAAACATACTTTTGTTAGTAACTGGTAACAGTTGAGGTTAATTATATAGAAACAGTACAAACATACTT